TATCATTTAAAAAAAGAATAAATAGCAGGGGAGATAATGGCTCTCCTTGCTTTAATCCAAGAGTTACGTCGAAAAATTCTGACATATTCATAAAAGCATTAATTTTTACACATGACACTACAGACGAATAAATTGCCTTTAACATATTTATCATTTTACAACTAATACCAGTATCTAACAGCTTAATCCATAACGCATCTCTTATAACTGTGTCAAAAGCCTTTTCATAATCAATGAAAATACAATAGAGTTTAGAATTTTTTGCTAAAACTTTCTGAATTATGGAATGAAGAATAAAAATAGCATCAGAGGTTGATCTCGAATCTCTAAAACCAAACTGAATATCGCTGAAAATTCTTTCTGACTCACACCATTTATTAATTCTATTGCGCAATATTAACGAAAAAATTTTTGCCATACAATTTACCAAAGTGATGCCCCTGTAGTTCGAGGGATTATCATGATCACCTTTCTTATGTATTGGGACAATTATCCGTACTATAAAGAAAATGTCATAAAAACGCACCTCTTTATCCGAGTTTAAAGTAATCATTTAAATATTTATATTGTCATTAAAATAAAAATCTCATAAAAAATAAATAACAAAGCTCATATTTAGGTATAATTTTATGTTAAAGTGACTTCTCCCTAAGCTCAAGTTAGGAAAAGTGCGCCTTATTTTCTTACTGATAAATAGATACACATACACACTTGATTAGAAGACATATAGATTGCCTTTTACATAAATAATTCAGAAAATAATTCGTTCAGAAAAATCTATAGGAAACTTTTCGCATGGGTTACTTTCCCAAAATCACGTGACGAAGCCGGTGCAATAAGTTGTATATCGCTTACGATTATCTTTCTCGATGATACTCGATAAAAATGAACACATTTAAAATTAGCAATAACTAGATGGAGAAAAGATTCACATGTGTATCATTTGAATTAACGAATACAACCCTTATTTCATAAAATGTAGACTTTTATATTTGCTTTGGTGAGAATGTATATATATATTTGGAAACTCTGTTTTGTAAAACGTCTTTCATTAGAGCGCATTGTTTATTACTGTACAAAAATATATCATATTTGGAAAAAGTCATTTAAATAATAAAGTAATTGCATTTATACAACATTTACCTTTCGTTTGGTATAAAAGTCCCTTCTTTTGCCTTACATAGATCTTTAACATTACATAGAGCGAAGCGAAACATTATTATGTCAAATGATGCAGTATACGGGTATTATGTAAAGGTAGATGCCCCTAGTGAGTAAACTTGCAGTTGCAAAAATACACCCGTTAAAAAAAGAAAAGTGTAGTTTTATTTTCGTATGTCAACACATTCATTGATATTGTTTTATAAAATACGTCATGAAAAAATAACAAAATAAAATTAAAGGTCTATATAACTCTCCTTCGAAAAAAAACAACAACAACAAAACATTTCCTTTTCTGCATCATCTTTCGAACGAATCCCAGGCGCAAACGATCGTGTTCAATGTACCATTATTGTATATATATATATATATAGAAACATTACTATAAAACAGATATGATAATGTTTGTTTTGAAGCATCAGATATCACATTGTTTGAGGTGGAAAGAAATCACCATGATAACAAGCTGTATGTTGGAAATCCGGCATATATTTGTTGGAATTCCTCTGTATGTGACTTTTTGTATGTGACTGATTTGCATATTTCATTATCCCTCACTCAATCCAAGTCTGCAATTTTCATGTTATTTTGTTGTGATAAGTGTGGATAGAAATACATTATCAGGTGAATGCACATGAGCAGCTTAAAATTTATAATAAACATAAAAACATTCAGTAATTCACCTTTAAGTTTTATAGGATCTTTTTATCATAATTTCTTCTTTCAAATTTGCCGGTGTATTTCATTCTGCATTTTTTAAAAAAAGTTTACAATATACTCGTATAAATTAAGCCAGGTTTATGAATGTACGTCTACTTAAATTTCATTTACTGCGTTTGTTTAACAGTGTTAGACGCATTCTATGTAATCTTATTTTTAATACCCTACTTTTGTTTTTTCTGTTAATAAAGGACAAGTGCACCAGCGAGATTGGTTTGAACATATTTATTTAAACTCGACAGCGAAACAAGTTATTGCATCTTATATCAATCGCTTTCGAAACCAACCAGTACTGGTGTCATATAAAGAAACATTGCCGTGACCCGATTTTGGCTCGAATGATCCCTGGGTCGAGAAGCAGACATCTTATCCACTCCCCCTTCAAAAATCTTCATTAAGCATGTACGCATGTTGTTTCTACACAAAAAGGTCAATATGCATTTTAAACACACTTGTAAAATTAAAAGAAAGTACAAAATAATGCTGAAGATAGAGATATGAAAAATTAAGTTTTTAGCTCACCAAAACACACACAGGTTTCAGAGGTCATCTTTTGTGATGACATTATGTCTCTTGTGAATCATGCTTCATCTGTCGTTACCAACAGTTTCTCTTAAACCTCTTGGTAAATTTTTACCAAACTATACAGAAATGATTTTTCGGTTAAGTTTCAAGTGTGCTGCCCTAGTAGAGTGTCACACACTTCCGGTTTCAAGTTTTTTTTACCTCGCAAGAACGCCTGTTGCTATCATTGCCCTAGTGCTTAAAAAGTCATGTTTTAATGTTATTTTCGCTAAAGGGTTTTAATTATTGCTTAAGTTATGACTTTTAAACTATTTAATTATCTTATTATCGTTATACACTTACACTACATATAAATGAAAACCGTTGTGACTTTTGTGATCAAATGGTATCAATCTTATGATCGACATAAGTCAAAATGTTTTTACATGTCGATTGCAGGCAAGATATACAAACCAAACTGTATAAATTAATTGAGAAGACGTTAATCAGAATTTTAGTTATATTTATATTGCATCTACAATGTTAAAATGTTACTTTAGATATTATATTTTATTGAGAACGTAAGGCAGCTTCTCTAATGAGACATACAGGATATAAATACCCTATATGTTTATTGAGAAGTTATAATTTTGTCTTTCTTAGAAGGTTATTTAAAACATGTCTGTTGTCACTCCATAAGGTTTAATGTGCATTATCTTTTGACAATTTACATAAAATAGGTGGTAACTTGATCTACATAAAGTAACGTGTATTATAATATAAAATTTTAATATAGACGGTGTCCGGAACCGGGTTACATATGTAAGGTAAAGAAAATGTAGTATATCACGGCATGTAATTTGACTCTTGTTTACCAAGTACGTTTAGGTTACTTAAACGTCGGCATGTAATTTGACACTCTTGTTTAATATGCACTTGAACTATGTACATGGAATTGGTCTACAATGAGTGTATTTTCCAAAAGTGTATCAAACGTTGATAAAAAACAATAGAAATGTGCATCATTTGTACTAAAGCACGAAAGACCGGTGGTGACTTTGAATTTTTTCCACGAGCCTACATTGATAAGATGGGTTCTGATAATAATTTTATTTCGGAGATCGCACGGTACAAACGCTAGAAGGTCATTGATTATATTATATTACAACAAACTGTACAAAAAAACTGCATCAAGTCACATAATTAGAACCTCCAGTTTCACTCACTTAGCCCTTGTCTCGGCATTACTGCACTGGTTTCTCTAGGAAAAGAAAATAGGACGCAACAAAAATATTATCTCATGAATACATTTGTCAATTTCGTGCCTGACATGCATCTTGATAATATATGCCGGATAATGTGGGTCAGACATCGGCTTTGATATCGCGTGAAAAGCATGACAAAAATGCTAATCTTTTTGGGATTAACTTACAGTAAAACCTGCATTTAGCAAACGGGCTTTTAAAGCCTGGTTGTTATACATTTCGCTATATTTAAAGAAATACATCTATGTTAAGTACAGTAAATTATTTGATTACGAATTTCAATAATTTTAGACATTTATGGTATATGTGTATATTGGGTATGACTGAATATTCTGACCATTGTCATTTAAAGGTGTCACTGTATTTAATGATGTACAGAATCAAGATTAGATGGATATATTGAATTCTTTAGAAAAAGAGAACTTTTTAAACATTATTACAAGCCATAAGAGTTTTCGGAAAACATTTTTAGGCAACTATTAGAAAAGAAGAAAAAATCGCCATGGTTTCATGAAAAGTATCGCGAAGCTATAGAAAACATTTTTAATTCTAAACGTGCTGACAATTATTCAGAAGAAAAAAGAATAGCCTTTTAAACAATAGAAAATTGTATGCAAATTCGTCAGGCTAAATTAAAGATTATATTATCAAGAGAAAACAAGACTGCCCTGTCCTGTTTTTATTTGGGGTCCAGCTGGGCTCCTTGCCGGTGATCCTGTGTTACTGGGACGTGTGGGGGTTGCGTTTATTGAACGCCAACTTTCCATGTTGATATTGTTTTTCATATTTCATATGTTAGTAAACAGTCCTCACGAAATATTTTGATTCATATTACGAAATATTAAGGGAAAAGTAAAAATGAAATTGTTCTTACTTTAAGGAGTATTTTTCAAAGCTAAATAACTGTTCAAGCGAGGATGTAAAATTTGAGCAACCTAAACGTGAGGTCCCTATTAGAACGGAAGCTTTAGATTCACTAATTACAGTCAATGAAATCATAAGAACTATCTCTTCATTGAGCTGGCATAAGAGCTGTGACCAAGAGCATATTTTTTGCAGACTTTTTCGTTGACGCAAAATCTTTATAACCAATCACGTAAGCCTACAAACTCAGTTTAACTAAATTCAGTATTGCTTATTCCCCTTTGTATATAAATACTTGTATCCAACTCAATTAGGCGACCTGAATCCACCTCTTTACAATTCTAAACCTCACCTTTTTATTAATAGGTTTAAAGTTTCATTTTTTTTTCACATTCAAGAATATTGGTTTCAATGCTATGCAAGTAAACAATGTTTCAATTTTATATAAATGCAATCACCAGTGTGAGATGTTAATTATCAAGGAAAGTGTTTAAAAAGTTTACAACCTTTCTTTTGATTGATTCAACTGCATATTTCTGTATGTATGATAGAAAGAACCTATTTTTAAGAAAAACGATTTGAAAGAATCGATATGAAGTGCGTCATATTAACGTTTGAAACGAAACCAATAAAAACGATTGTAAATAAAGCAATGCCACTATATTAAACTTTCATATGGAGCTAAACATGGAATACATTCAATACATGTTAAGCAATAGTACCAGTAGAATGTTATATCCATACAGAAAACAATTCAAAATTTTACAACTACCGCTACTCTTTTCATTCAAATAACTCGAGGTCAAAATCCAATTGGAAAAGGAACTTGACAACATAGGCAGTCATGAAAATCAGGACAGAATATATTGATGAAAAATAACAAGACGATGAGCTGACGCAATCCCTTTCTTCCTTTTCCTCTTCAGGGCCGCTATATTTCCAATTCCCACATTTCTGAAAGTTTTTGGGAATCTTTGGCATATCGTTTGGATTCCCAACTTGAATGAGAAGACCCATTCCAGTATTCAAATGAAACTGGATATGACAGTGGAAAAACCAGAATCCTGAAATATATGAGTGGTGTTAAAAATAAAACTGATTTGTATATTTCTTGGTCATATATTTAATTTTTCAACCAAGCATATTACACCAAAATCTTTAAATGTTGAATTCTGGTTATACCGGTTCTAGGGTGCGTGTATGGTAACTTGCACTTTTCAGTTCCGTCCAAACAGAGCCTGCAACATTTTTCAATTTCGTTGATTTTTGACGTTCTTAAGGAATTCTGTTTTCCCTATTGTATAGTGTCGTTAATAAATCTTGTTTTTTGTTAGATTGACAGTAGCGATGTTGTTCTTTTTTAGATTATCAGTAACGAAAAACATAAAAGGTTTAGAGTATGTGTACGTATTATTCTCATAAACGTATAGATGTCATTCGGAAAAACGGATATCTTTGACACAAAATCATGATAATAAATTATAATTGAAAAACCTTTACCTGGGTTATCTGCATGGAAACGTAAAATTACATAACCACCGTCAGGGACAGTGACCGAATCTTTGGCAAGGGGATCAACAAGATTACGAGTAAGGTTTCCATTCTCATCTAGGCGTTTAACTTCCTCAATTGAAGTAGACTGTCCAAGCTTGAGATAAGGTTAAAAAAACGGTTCGTTTGTATTTTTATATTGTCAATCAAAACATAATTGCATAAAATAGATCACTTAAAAGAAATCGTGTTTACTCTAGAATGTGTCTAAAATATTTATTTATTTAATAAATACATGTATTAGATAAATCAAACGATTAAAACAACTTAACATTATAATAAAACGAAAGCACTTATATAAAAAAAGTATTTTATATCATAAAGGTAATGACATTTTCTGGAGTTTTCACTTCTTTAAACTTTGCATGCTGTTGGTAAAAATGAGTGTCACCAACTTCACTCTTGAGTTATCAGCCATAGAATCTGGATAATCGTTTTGTTTGACCTCAATGCCAGGGCTGATAACTTATACAGTCTACCAAATTTTGTTTTATACACTGGATTATGTTTTTCTTTTTATGCTTGATCACAATACAAAATAACACGTAATTACATTAATTATTTCTGGTATATCTTTTCATGTTGACTAAAAGGACTTAAATTCTTTAAGTCACCTTTTAAGAAAAAAAGGCAGATGTTTAGGAAAAAAAAAGTATTGTTTACCATCAATGTAAATTATGCAGAAAAGCCCAATCCAGGGACAGAGTACTCAAAACGAGAACGATGACCCCTATTATTTTCGCTTAAAATGTTTCTGTTATATTCTAACATCATTCCAAGTTAAAACAAATTCTATTTAACAATTTTATCATTGCCGAAAACTCAAGAAAACGTTTTTAAAAACTACATGTTCACCCTGTATGCAGACCAATACAACACACAATGAAATCATAGATGTTAATAAAAAGTTTTATTGTTAGACGCAAAGTATAGTGTATTTATATTTAAGAATTTTAGCATGCATATAATGCATATTTTTTGTTTCACATGCAAGGTATCATTGCAGACATGTACATACCTTGTCCATGCCAACGACGTAGAACTTGTGACCATGTAGATGCATTGGGTGGTTGGCATTAAATGTGACACCTTCATCAATAACAATTATCTCAACCGTGTCATATAATTGTACATGTAGACGGTAGACACACTCACAAAACTCCTCTGTGCAATTTTTTCCCGTGCTCTCGCTGTCACAAAACTCACTCTGTGTGTAATGATTTATTGCGTTGATTTTACAACATTTCACTTTCTGATATATAACTACATCTGATACAACTACATTGTTGCAACCTATCAAATATTATTTAAAGCATAGTACAAATAAAAATTAGTTACTTAATTCATTTGAATAAAACTTAAGGTAACTTATTGTTTATTGATAGAAGAGAAATCACACACAATAAAATGAGATTGATTGATGTAAATATTCCAAAACACGATGCTGAAAACTTATTACTAAATAAAGCTGTTAGCTATGATTTCACAGTAAATGACATATGTGCCAGAGTTCATGGCTTTAATGAAATCCCCAGATTTATACCAATACATCATATAAGTATACAATATTTCAAAAATTATTGTGTTTATAATATTATCATTTTAATTCTTTTTAGAATTTAGAATATTTCATTGAAGTGTAATCGGGAAATAAAACAAAATGAATACATATTTCTGCAAAATTACCTGGTTTATGTCGGAATATTGTGAGAGTTGTGGCGACGATGGTAGTCGTAATGATATGTGGTTAATCTGAGTCATGTACAATTGTTTAGATCTTTGTAAAGCTAAGATAGGATATAACGAGGCATCATGAAAATGATAGTTGTCAATCTTGTTGAAATCCATAGCAAGGTAAAATTTCTTGTCAGGGATCTCTTTCAACCCAGCTTTTCCACTCTGGCGCGACTTCAACTCACTAACTTGAATATTTGATTCATCACCTTTCATGTTCCAAGGATTTAATTTCTATCAAATATAACATAACTCGTAATCTGTATCAGCAAAATCTGCGAGAACGCTGTTAAATTGAACATGAGAGCTTGAGATTGCGCGTACATAATTTATGTGTTGAATTGTTGATAAAACTGTTCTTTTTTCAATTATGAAAATACTATATTTGTGAAAGTATAAGACTTCTAAAAATGTATGCATAACTACTTTTAAAGAACAACGTAAGTAATACAAGTACTACAACTGACAGGGAAACTGAATTAGATGTAAATGCTATTAAATATTGTTTCAAAAAAAGTACCACGAAGTTTATTTTATTCAAAATCATTGCAGAATATAATAACATATACATGTATTAAACTTTTATTTGATTGACAGTAAGCACGAGATCAATGTATTTTTACCAATCCAGGTCTGTCTGCGTCCTCCCATGTAGTACTTCCGGTAGGTTCTTCATCAGGGGCACCAGCATATCGCAATATAGCAACCTGTATTTCAATTGTGACTGTGTATCAACGTTATGATTACAAAGTAAGAAATAACTTAAAGGTTTTGTGTAACCGACAGAGAACAAAAAAAGACTCGTAACAATTACGTGGTACCATTATACTGTAATTTCTTATAGATAAAGTAGCATGGTGTCAAATAATTGATTTGATATTGACGTAGTTTTTTGATCTCCTGTATTTTTCCTTCCAGTATAAAGTTAGAGCGGATTGTTTTTAAAGCTTACCACTGATACTAAAACATTTGATTGAACGAAGGATTGGCTATTTTTTAAATTGTAAACAATTCTTTTTTATGAATCCATAACTGTATATAAGCTGCGTCACGACAAAACCAACACAATTGGTTTGCGACCAGCATGGATCCATACCAGCCTTCGCATCCGCGCAATCTGATCAGGATCCATGCTGTTCGCTATCAATTTCTCTACTTGTAATAGAGTTGGTAAGCGAACAGCATGGATCGCGGATGTGCAGGCTGGTCTGGATCTATGCTGGTCGCAAACACATAATGTTGGTTTTGTCGTGACACGGCTCATATATCTTAATTTCAAACATCTTGAAGTCCAACTTACCTGTTTGACCTTTGAGAAACCACAGACACCAAGACCTCTGACCCTGATCCAGTAATTCCCTACAGGCTGCGACGCATTCAGTACAAAGTCAAACCTCTCTCCAGCAAAAATGATAAACGAATTGACCTCAATCTTCTCAAATGGACTGCCATCAGATGCTATCATTGTGAGCGTATGTCCATCAATGGAAATCTGTTTAGCAAAAATGACTTATTATGGTTTGATTTTTTTTTCAAATGTCATTTATTCAGTTGAAATCTTGAAATATATTTATAAAAAAGATGATAATTTTTATAAAATCACTGTCAAATATGGATTATTTTTTATTTTTGTACAAGGACAAACAAAAAAAAAATGAATATATAACAAAATTTTCATTCGTCATTCCCAAAAAAAAAAAGTTTCCCGTAAACCAGCTTAACATGAATTCATTTCAAAGGTTTCGATAACAATAAATGTGCAATGAAACCGGCAATACCAATGCTTATCATTTAAACCTCCTGTCTCCAAAAGAATTAAAAGAAAACTAAAGAAGTTCTTAACATCCTGTATATCCAGTAACGCAGGAATGTGAAAATAATGCAAAATTTGCGCAAAAATAACGCCGAATTATTGAACAGCTATGATCGTAACGTTAACCACGGTAAGATGAATAAGCGCATACGGCTGTAATGACAATATACTTTAACCAGCGTTACAAATATTTTCAGCTATAATTATGTTTACTTTTAAACACCATTCGTGAGAGGATGACGACCTGATAACGCTTTCCTTTTTTGTCAATATTAAAGTACAAAAATCCTTTTAAAACTTTATTGCCATGATATCCGGTATATCTTAACTACAAGAGTCATATTGTACTTCAAGGAAGCATTCAGGTAACCAGCATTTCTTCTGTCACAGTGGATCATCCGCGTAATTGGCTTTACCTCATAAAATAGTCTCGATCACATTTTTTATCTGCTAATTCCAGTAATATGGCACGAGAAGTGTGGAAAAATGTCTGAGGAATAACGAATTTATAAAACAATAATGTAATGTATACGTTATTGTTTTAATACAATAATATCGACGAAATGCAAAAGCCGCTTTCAAAACAATAACCAGGTCGTCTGTCTTACGAATGATCTTGAATAGCACACACTTAATAAGGTTTAAAATATAACGTCTCCTCAACCGTATGCGAATTTTTTTTCAGTATGATTTACAATAAAGTCGCTCTCTTCGGTCATAGAATTGCACAATTATGCGTTACTATTACACAAATCGTGCATGATTTTCACATTCTGGTGTTACCATGAATATACATGATGTACAATTACTTCATTTGTTGACTTACTTGTAAAGGGCAGTTAAGGATCCCATTACTTATTGTTCTAAACCTGTATCTCTTGCCTTGTGTCACGTGAAATATTTCGACAGGTGTATAACTAGTGGTATTTGAAGTGGAATCGAAAAATTCATGAAATACTCCTTTTCCTGTAAAAAAAAACAAGCAAACTCCAATGTGCTTCCCTTTATGCAGTAAATAAGAATTGAAGCAGGTCATATTTAATATTTTGATTTTTTATCCTTATCCACTCTTGTATAGTAACAAATTTGATAGATGAAGTTACATTCTCTTTTATACCTTAATACTTTTTGGTTTATCAAGATTATTGGTTAGAAACAGCGCACTGGCATTAGCTACATTTTGACATTGATTCATGTTCATCGAAAATCTGTTGTACAGCATCGGCGTGTGATGGCGGCCACAATCACAATATAAGGTTTCGTGAAAAAAGTTCTTTTGCAGTCTCAAATGTCAAAGGTTTTGGTTCAAAATACTTTGCCTACGTGGGTTGTAAACTATGCAATGGGTTATCATCTTCAATAGCCTGTCCCATATTGTTAAGATTGGTGTCAAAAGCCAAGTTTTATAATTTTTGTAATTAGGTATGTGGTATTATGTGTATAACTAACTAACTAACTAACTGACTGACTGACTGACTGACTGACTGTCTCACTGACTGACTGACTGACTAACTAGCCAATGCATTTCACTTATCTTAACCAGTCTTAATCCTACAACGCTAGTCAGAAATGGTGCTTTTTTATTTATTCTTTTATTTTAAATATGTGATGCATTTTACTTCTCATGTCATTCATTATAAATACATGTACATGTCATGTACAAAAAAAAACACAATGGAATTTCTATTTTTTGTCTTATCCTCCTAACTTAGTACTTGGTTAATACTTACGCCTGTATTTTATATAATCATTTTACATTTTATGATAACAACATGTTTGTTACCCTTGTATGCATTGTGATACCGAAATAAGGCGGTGGGCTGCTAGAGTCATGTGATACCGAAGTAAGGCGGTGAGCTGCTAGAGTCCTGTGATACCGAAATAAGGCGGTGAGCTGCTAGAGTCCTGTGATACCGAAATAAAGCGGTGAGCTGCTAGAGTCCTGTGATACCGAAATAAAGCGGTGAGCTGCTAGAGTCCTGTGATACCGAAATAAAGCGGTGGGCTGCTAGAGTCATGTGATACCGAAGTAAGGCGGTGAGCTGCTAGAGTCCTGTGATACCGAAATAAGGCGGTGAGCTGCTAGTGTCCTGTGATACCGAAATAAAGCGGTGAGCTGCTAGAGTCCTGTGATACCGAAATAAAGCGGTGAGCTGCTAGAGTCCTGTGATAACCGAAATAAAGCGGTGAGCTGCTAGAGTCCTGTGATACCGAAATAAGGCGGTGAGCTGCTAGAGTCCTGTGATACCCGAAATAAAGCGGTGAGCTGCTAGAGTCCTGTGATACCGAAATAAAGCGGTGAGCTGCTAGAGTCCTGTGAGTACCGAAAATAAAGCGGTGAGCTGCTAGAGTCCTTTGATACCGAAATAAAGCGGTGAGCTGCTAGAGTCCTGTGATACCGAAATAAGGCGGTGAGCTGCTAGAGTCCTGTGATAACCGAAATAAGGCGGTGAGCTGCTAGAGTCCTGTGATACCGAAATAAGGCGGTGAGCTGCTAGAGTCCTGTGATACCGAAATAAGGCGGGTGAGCTGCTAGAGTTCTGTGATACCGAATAAAGTGCGGTGAGCTGCTAGAGTCCGTGATACCGAAATAAGGCGGTGAGCTGCTAGAGTCCCGTGATACCGAAATAAGGCGGTGAGCTGCTAGAGTCCTGTGATACCGAATAAGGCGGTGAGCTGCTAGAGTCCTGTGATACCGAAATAAGGCGGTGAGCTGCTAGAGTCCTTGATACCGAAATAAGCGGTGAGCTGCTAGAGTCCTGTGATACCGAAATAAAGCGATGAGCTGCTAGAGTCCTGTGATACCGAAATAAGGCGGTTGAGCTGCTAGAGTCCTGTGATACCGAAGTAAGGCGGTGAGCTGCTAGAGTCCTGTGATACCGAAGTAAGGGCGGTGAGCTGCTAGAGTCCTGTGATACCGAAATAAAGCGGTGAGCTGCTAGAGTCCTGTGATACCGAAATAAAGCGGTGAGCTGCTAGAGTCCTGTGATACCGAAATAAGGCGGTGAGCTGCTAGAGTCCTGTGATACCGAAATAAAAGCGGTGAGCTGCTAGAGTCCTGTGATACCGAAATAAAGCGGTGAGCTGCTAGAGTCCTGTGATACCGAATAATAAGCGGTGAGCTGCTAGAGTCCTTTGATACCGAAATAAAGCGGTGAGCTGCTAGAGTTCCTGTGATACCGAAATAAGGCGGTGAGCTGCTAGAGTCCTGTGATACCGAAATAAGGCGGTGAGCTGCTGAAGAGTCCTGTGATACCGAAATAAGGCGGTGAGCTGCTAGAGTCCTGTGATACCGAAATAAGGCGGTGAGCTGCTAGAGTTCTGTGATACCGAAATAAGGCGGTGAGCTGCTAGAGTCCCGTGATACCGAAATAAGGCGGTGAGCTGCTAGAGTCCCAGTGATACCGAAATAAGGCGGTGAGCTGCTAGAGTCCTGTGATACCGAAATAAGGCGGTGAGCTGCTAGAGTCCTGTGATACCGAAATAAGGCGGTGAGCTGCTAGAGTCCTGTGATACCGAAATTAAAGCGGTGAGCTGCTAGAGTCCTGTGATACCGAAATAAAGCGATGAGCTGCTTAGAGTCCTGTGATACCGAAATAAGGCGGTTGAGCTGCTAGAGTCCTGTGATACCGAAGTAAGGCGGTGAGCTGCTAGAGTCCTGTGATACCGAAGTAAGGCGGTGAGCTGCTAGAGTCCTGTGATACCGAAATAAAGCGGTGAGCTGCTAGAGTCCTGTGATACCGAAATTAAAGCGGTGAGCTGCTAGAGTCCTGTGATACCGAAATAAAGCGGCGAGCTGCTAGAGTCCTGTGATACCGAAATAAAGCGGCGAGCTGCTAGAGTCATGTGATACCCGAAATAAAGCGGTGAGCTGCTAGAGTCCTGTGATACCGAAATAAAAGCGGTGAGCTGCTAGAGTCCTGTGATAACCGAAATAAAGCGGCGAGCTGCTAGAGTCATGTGATACCGAAATAAAGCGGCGAGCTGCTAGAGTCCTGTTGATACGGAAATAAAGCGGTGAGCTACTAGAGTCGTGTGCGAAAATTAAGCATCTGGACGACGTAAACAAATATTGCTATAGTACAAAATACTGATAAGATGACTGCGATTACTATGGAATGCGCTGAACAATGTTTAACTTTTGCATTCAAATTTCCCTTTTATGTTTGACGGAATTTGCAAAGAAGTAAAACGTTATACTGGCTGACAGGGCTGATAAAATACAGTAAAAGAGTTGTAAGCTTAGTGTATAATTTTTATTTGAAACTTTATTTGCATAAAATTCTCGGGGCTAGCCGCTATGTGCTTTGCTTTGCATACACTTTCGATAGTTAAGAACAATTTGCATACATTTAATGGCAATAAAACTTGTAAACTGCCCAACTTTCGAAAAGTTTATATCATATGCGAAAATTAACTTATTTCACAGACTGTTGACACAACTTACCATTAATGAGCATGGACCTTGGGTTGCTATCTCTCCCTGCATGATGAAGATGAGCAAATGTATTAATACTCAATTCCACTAACCAATCAGTTACAAGCATGGTATGCTCAGGTAAGTCCTCGTCGTACAGACCTAGATGAGACTCAAACTCGATTGCTTGGCGAACAACAAATACACCATAAACGCCATCTGACCTCTGAAGACCGGAATGAGCATGCCAGTAATGTGTTCCTGCGTTTTCAGCTTTGAATCTGACAACATATAGTAAATCTTGAAAAAATCACTCGTTTTAGAAAGTTATTGAACACAGAAAGCTGTCAAAGATATTGTAAGAATAATTAAAACTGTATATAATACATATTCGTGCATAACAAAGCAGGTGTACGACATGCATTAACGGACATAATCGTGCGCGCTCTTGCTGCACCGTTTTAAATGTTATGTTTTTTACTCTGGGTGACATGACTGCAATGACAACCACATTCATTTCATTTTCAAAACAAAACTGTCAAATGACATCGCACTCGCACATAAAAAGCATGACGAAACTTGTTTATACGAAAACAAATACCGAACCTAAAAATTACGAAATACTTTTATGCAAGTATATACTTTTATGCAAGAATAGATCTAGTTCCCTGGGATTTTACTAAACCCATCATGCTATGGGTTCAGTAATATAATGCGTCCCCGTGCTACGAAAAAAGTTGAATTAGCCTAAAATATAGAATAATTGTCATGGTAAATTGAAACCTTAAATGTCGCCCAGTTTCCAAATACCCCTTACTTATATATGTGTCGATTACTTTTATTTAAAATCTAACACGTTAACACTTTAAGATAATTTAAAATTAAAAAAAAAGTGATATTTCTGTGAATCTATTCTTTTCACAATATTGTATGCTACTCTTCATCATTTCAGGGTTGAGCTGCAGGCATAAAGTAACCTTGTCTCATTTATTTTATATACCTATACTGAAATGTTGCTCCTTCCGGGATTGGACATTGTGTCACCATAGCAACACCGTCCATATGCTGGGAACCATTCTGCAAAATACCATGCCAGTGGATGCTGGTTCCCACACCCCCTGCTAAGTGGTTCTTGACATTCACAATCACAGTGTCTCCTTCACATACCTGGATAAAATAATTCACCATGTATTGTTATATCATGTTACAATTTATACATGTGTAGTATTGGTTTCTAATATCTTACTGTTTTTGTTGTAGACCATCACATCACTAAATATAAAATAGAAATTGTTGAATAAACACGGTAGTTTCTGGGTTACAATTTTAAAGAACATTCTGATATAGGTCTTAATTTACATAAATTATAGCACAATTCCTGTTGAGATTACCTAAATGTTATTTACTTCAACAAGAAACAAAACAAGGTCTTACATGTATTCCGGGTCCTGGTAGCATTCTGTTAACGACATTGATACCACGTGACACGCCATCAGCTGGGATACAGTGAGGCCGGGAACAATCCGTCTTATTATACGGACAATCATAGCAAGCCTTTGAAAGAGTAAAGTACAACTCCACCGTAAAATCGTACGAACACATCATCGGGCGATTTACTTGACATGCTCGTAAACAAGGATGTGTTCTGTATGATTCTAGATCTGTTCAAATATAAACGAATTCTTTAAACCTTCTATAATTTGACGTTTGGTTTAGAATCATGCAGTTTGCTACAGAATAATATACAGCTTTATACTTTTTACATAGATAGCATACTGTTCAAGGGAAGTAACTACTATATGTAGTTAATGCTGCGCCGAGGCATTAATAATCAATTATTCAAAAGTTATTTATATAATGATATTTAAAACAAAATTTGTTTTGTGATTATAGTTTCAGTATTCTGTTGAATGCAATTGTATTAACATCAGGGGTTTTACTATAGAAACGGATAACACACCTATGGTTATGTTTATATGAAAATGAAGATCTATGTCAAGGAAACATTTATCTATTTTACAGTATGTTTTACCTTGTGATAGTTGACTTGATACACACAGGAAAAGGTAGCTCAATGCAAGAAATACTTTATCCAAACGTGCCATTCTTTATCACTTCTGCAGGCTTTGGGCTTGTAAATTATCTGAATATTATTCTACCTGTCCTGAATTATATGATATATACAATTTATTTATTACAAGTGTTGTATCCGTGAGATTTTTTTATCAGTGCAACTTTTAAAGGAAGTAAAGAAATACATTTTTACAAAAGAATAATCAAGAAAGACAAGACAATAATTAAAATATCAAAAATATATTTTAACATAATTTGAAATACTTCTTAACAAACTCTTTGACCATAAATGCTAAAAACAATAAATTAAAAAGAATAATGAAAAACACACAAAAATGATGATACATATTATGTATTCTATAAAGTAAACGTTATAGATACATTTTGAAGAACGTTTATAGTTTTTTTTTAATGAGTAGCGTGGGTTATCGATCATTTTTTGCGAAGTAGATTACAGAATAAAAAAAATCAAAGATGGTAAATTGTAATGTTTCTTATTTTAACTGTGTACTAAGATGAGCATATTGTCAATCTAATATATGTTTGCGTAATAGGAGAAAATAGCATTTATTGCTTCCTATTATACAGCAAAGCATAAGCACTGATGTTTTTGTTGTTACTTTTTTGTCGTTAGCGCATTTCGAACCTGATCAACATTTCAAAACGAGTCAATTTTGCTTTTGTTTTCGACGAACATACTTACCGTTTTTATCAAACTAATAACACGCGTTTAAATATTGAAATATATCCGACATAACAGTACACTTTTATTGATCAATTGTCAATCTAATAAATATTACTTGACAAGCAATCATTTTAACAGTTTAAGAAAATTTCAAATCGAAGCTTTTTTTTCAAATTAATTTCTAGTGATAGATACATGTACCACAAAAAATATGCGATTAAGTTTGTGCTTTCGTGGGGCAAATGCCTGGTATAAATATACTCTTTTTGCATGCAAGAATAATGCAAAGTTAATTATTCAGTACAATTAGTTAATTATTCATTACAATTATCATGTAACTGTCAGAACATGTATTTTATAAAACACATAAACATCATATATGATTTGAATGATTTTAGCAACTGTTGTAATCAGAGTTACTCAATAAAACATGTATATTAGTAACTTTGTCATTTATAATAACAGTGTTTAGCTCTTTGACATTAGATTGCGGTATTTCGGCGTGCGGGCTGATGAAGGGGTGGGCTTGAATAATATATTCTGTGCACAACCCCTCCTACGTTTCTCAAAGGATTAAAACTAAACTTTCACAGAAACATTTTTATCAAGTGCCCTGGCGCATATTGTCGGTGTTTTGCAATGGTGTAGTAATAACCCCTTGTTAAGAAATTCTGTTAGAGAAATACACTACTACTTCGTTTCTTAAGGGATTGTAACAAGTTTTTCACAGAAGCTTTGCAATCGAGTGCTTTTGTGCACATTGTCTGTGTTTTTCGATTCAAACATTTTTAGCGGAATAATGACCCTTTGTTTAAAAAGAACTAGTAAAACAAACAGAGAAATACACCTCTGTTCTCAACTGCTACTGTATTTCTTAAACAATTTTGACTTAACTTTTACAGAAACTCTTTTCATCAAGAATAAGTGCCCTTGCGCTTAGTGTTGGTGTTTTGCGTATCAAACATTTAGGCCAGAAATATGGCTCTTTGTTAAAAAAAAAAGAAAGAAAAAAAAAAGAAAGAAAAAAAACACAACAGAGAAATATTATTCTATTCTAAAATCCTACATTTCTCAAGCAATTTTGATTAAACTTTCAAGGAAGCTTGGTCATTATGTGTCCTGGCGCATATTGCCGGGGTTTTATTATTCAACTTTTGGCGGATTGTTGCCTTTTTTATTTATTTTGTTGTGTTTTTTTTCAACCCCTAGAAATACACTTCTGTGCGTAACTTTTTTTTAAGAAACCATTCAAACTTAAATATAAGAATAAGATTTTATATATATATCTATGCTGCTTTACATCATATAATATCACTGTACAAATTCCATAACAAATTCCAAGTTTCTTACTGTTGGAATAATATGCACCTAATAAGATACAATTAGCATTTCAAACATAAAGAAACATAGGGAAACATAAAGGATACAAATTAATATTCATCTATGCATTATATATGTAAAAAATAAAAAAGACGCCCAAAAATGTTTAAATTGCAAAATGCTAACAATATAGACCACGTTATTTGATGACAAATGTTCTGTGAAACATGATTTAATTTATTATTTTTTATCAAAGAAGACTAATTTCAGTAATCTGTTTAATCGCACATAAGAAAGGTCTTTTTAATTTGCATTGTTACTCTCATATGTTTTGTATAGATATTTGCATCACGCATCGACATGTTGATGTTGTTTTTCTTAAATTTTAATTTCAATATCATAAAAAAGATTGCTTTGAATGAATGTTAGATTGTGTCCCTTGTTGTGTATTTCCTCCCTGTTCAGTTTTAAAGTCATCAACACCGTGCAACAATGCCGTTTTTCTTCTCGTAAAGTATAAAAACATGTGTACAACTGTTTATCCCTGCATCAGCATGTGTTTGGATGGACTTATATGCAAACAATAATTACAATAAAAAATTAATAAACACTCAGTTTGACTTTCGCCTCTCTTAGCCAGTTCATTTGTATACGTGCATTAATTATATTTCATTGCTTCTTTAAAATATTATGTAACGCTTGCACGTCTTAAATTGAATTTGTAATTTTATTGTTGAATATTGATTAACGCTTCTTTTTTTATTTCTCAATATCCCGAATTTGCGATTTTCATTCTTTTCATTGTTGCAGAGGCAAAATTTCTAAAAAATTTCCCATTTTGAAAAAAAAATTCATTCTCCTTTCAAAATCACAACATGCAGATATTAGAATCTTTCATTCTTTCCTCCAATGACACACGGACCAATGTGGATAATAAGCTATGTTTCTCTCAAAATAATAATTAATTTTCTAGAAGGAAATAAAGAAAAAACTATACTTTATAAAAGCAGATTTACGAGTATATCAATTTGCATAGACGTGAAAATAAAATGCAATTGACTGCATTTAAATAGAACTGTATATCTTTTTAAAATGTCTTTGATTAAAGTACATATTAAAGTTTTACCATAAAATTGATATTAAGATAAAAATACACAGTATTTACCCTTCGGTTTGTATCAAAGTCCAATTTATGTTTTAGATAGAAATGAACTTTGACATTAATAACACAGGAGGACACAGGGTAGTTTTGCAAATCATGCGGGTATCGAGGTCAATGACCCATATAAGTAAAAAGTACATCGGTAATATAAACAAGTAGATCGGAATATCTAATGTCAAAAAGTCAATGGACATTATCTAAGATAAAAAATTAATATGAAGCAGATGTAAGTAATTATTATAAAAAAACAGGCTACAATGGCAATACTGCATTTGGGCCGCGTCACGACAAAACCAACATAGCGCGTTTGCGACCAGCATGGATCCAGACCAGCTTCGCGATCAGGATCCATGCTGTTCGCTATCAGTTTCTCTACTTGTTATAGGGTTTGTAAGCGAACAGCTTGGATCCTGATCAGGCTGTGCGGATGCACAGGCTGGTCTGGATCCATGCTGGTCGCAAACGCACTATGTTGGTTTTGTCATGGCGCGGCTCAATTAATCTAAATCAGTCAGCATAAGTTCTGATCAGTATTGCAGTTAAATAAAGCTATCATAACTCGACAATCATGTTGAACTGCTGGCGCCTGATATTTTACTTTAAGATATACCATTGTCGCAGATATATTGAAAAAAATATATCGTTACAGTTCTAAAGGAACTGCCTGGCGTAAAATACATTTTAGTGTATGTTTAAGACTATTTGATGAATCTGTTTTAGAAGTACTCTCCGTTATATCAATTTCGACAAACGAGTTACAAAATGAATTTATATTACATTTTCAATATACATTTTTTGTCTTGTTATATAACAATATGTTTCTACCAAATTCAGTTTATAAATAATGCGCGATGATAAGTATTTAAACTTTTAACAATCACTTTTGAAGTTTTTGATGATATAATAATCTTTTTTCAGATATTTCTTTTTTAATTGACTTCATTCTTTCAAATTTGCCGATGCGTGTTATTTTACAATTGAAAGTAAATAATGTAAACATATTTTTTGTAAGTACACCATTTAACCTTGATTGATTTATTTCATTTATTGTGTTTTACAGCGTGACACTCACCCTACATTATTTGACATTAGTCTAATGGTCTAAATATTCAAATTTTATCAACATTTACAATAGGGTATTAATAAGGGTGGATCAAGAAGAACCACTGTCTACCGGATTAGGACATACACATGATACAAATCCTAAGGGCACGCGAACGTAAATTCTTAAGAATAAAGAAAATCAAAAAGCTGCAAACAATTTGGTATTTTCTTTTCTTTGCAATCTAAATCGTCCTGTATATCTGTACGTATTTCCATGTATATATATATATATATATATATATTTTTATGTACTATAATTCATCTTTCAGTGCACCACAGTTTGATACATGCAGGATTTTGCATGACTAGAG